TCATTTTTTGATATTTGTTTTAAATTTTTTATTAAGATTTTAAAAACTTTATATTTTTTTGAATAGTGTAATCTATGGCATGTTCTTTCCTTACATATTCATAACAACTGTGATATTTTTTTTTTAATGTAATCCTTTCTTACTATGCACATACTTATTTTTTAATGTGATATAATGACTTTTTATTTACAATACCTTACATCTTAAATTGTGATGATTTAAATGATATCCTTCATAATGTGATTTATCTTATAATTTGTGATATTTTTTCTTTCTTTTATGAAATACCTCTCTATATATATGTCATGCCACCAAATGCTAAGGACCACAATGCATGGAAATAAGAGCTTGCTCTTTTTGGTGTTATCCTTGGTTTTGGGAACATGTCATGGTTTACATAATATAGTATTTATTCATTTATTTATTTGTAATTGTTTTAATCTATATTGTGTTTGTTTATCATGTAACATGTTTACCTTTATGCCGAAATAAATCTATCATCTATCTATCTATCTATCTATCTATCTATCTATCTATCTATCTATCTATCTATCTATCTATCTATCTATCTATCTATCTATCTATCTATCTATCTATCTATCTATCTATCTATCTATCTATCTATCTATCTATCTATCTATCTATCCATCCATCCATCCATCCATCCATCCATCCATCCATCCATCCATCCATCCATCCATCCATCCATCCATCCATCCATCCATCCATCCATCCATCCATCCATCCATCCATCCATCCATCCATCCATCCATCCATCCATCCATCCATCCATCCATCCATCCATCCATCCATCCATCCATCCATCCATCCATCCATCCATCCATCCATCCATCCATCCATCCATCCATCCATCCATCCATCCATCCATCCATCCATCCATCCATCCATCCATCCATCCATCCATCCATCCATCCATCCATCCATCCATCCATCCATCCATCTATATGGCTGGAATCAGTCCACAGTTATTTGCCTTTCGTTGACCACAATAAGGAAGTAAATCCGCATAAAAGAGTGCCTGTGTTTAATGCCAGATATAAATGAATAATTGAATGAAAGAGATAGAAAAAAAGGCCATTTCCTGACAGAATTCATTTCAAATAGTTGGTAAATGCCAAGTTTGATCCAGATTTTATGCGAGTAAGTATTTTTTTAGTGTTTTTCTACATGACAGAACTCACATGGTTCCGGCTAATTACTGAAAACTGTCAGACTGATGTATTTTGAACTGAAATGCTGTGGAAAAATGATGAATGACCCCTAGTTTGCTATAGCTAGAATTATTTATCTTGGATGGTACTGTAAGCACAAGTGACTTTGATTTGATTGGAGAGTTAGTAAAATTGCCACAGGGTTTAATGTTTATATAGAACATATAGTGAAATTAATTGTGGTCTGAGGCCTGATTAGAAGCGTGTTTTTACATGGAGTAAATCTGTTTGACAGGTAATAACTTCATCATTTTTAGAGCAAATTTAATGAAACTTGGTCATGAAGCAGATAATTGATGTATAAATCTGAGTTTGTAATTAAATTACACAAGTGCTTTTATTTTCTTTGTATTATGTAATTTTATATAATAATATATACATTTTTTAAAAAAATCTCAAAAAGCTACTTTCAGTTTAGAAATGTCTGTTTAAATATAGCCAGGAGGTCATTTCCTGTACAGGTTACAGCCTCCCTTTAAATAAAAGTTAAAATGGAAGCATTTTTTAAAAATTATTTAGAAAAAAATCAATGAAAAATCTGTGCTAAACAGACAGGGCTGTATGATAGGGCAGGGGTGTATAAAGAAAGGACCAGTGGGCTATGGTATTATTATTATTTCCAAGTTTCCTGATGCACAGTGGCACACCATGCATGTTCATAAACTTCTTTACCTGGTTCACAATAAAATTCTGTATGTTGAACCAGATTTAGAGGTCTCGTACCTGTGCCACGTGCTTCTGTGTGTCGGTGCTAACCATTTGAGCCCCATTGCATCAATACCGAAAGGCTTAAGTGTGTGAACCGGGCCATTTGCTGCAGCCATGGGGTATACCGAGACTGTTTATATGTTTGAGGTGAGTAATCGCTTTGTTTAAGAGACATATTTAAGGTGTTGATGGCCTCGGGATAAAGGTTGGTGAGTGCTTACGTGTCCTTTCATTTATTCTGATTGCATATTTCCTTATATTGTCCTACATTTAAAGGACTCCTATTATAATCCTACAAGTATGTTTCTGCTCCCATTCTTTTTACTTGTTAAGCAATAACAGTGTATTTCAAGTAAAATTGGTCAGTTCACAAGTGCTAGACTTTGAATAATTGCTTATAAACAGCCATAGCCCATGAAAACTTGTTGAATTTTACTTAAAGCACTCTGGCATTGCAAAGAAATGCTAAAAGCCTGTGATTTAATTAATATAACATTTATTTCACAGTGTAAAATAACAACAGAGATGATAACAATTTCAAAATATCATGCAGGTTATGTTGAATGATACAGTAATGAAATATGAAATTCGCTTTAAAAGGAATAGTCCGTCACTTTTTAAGTAAACCATTTGTTAAGTTTAATTTCAGGTCTGTACACAGACAGCACATTTGTTTAAGATAGTTGTCTCGTGCGCAAACCGAATATTTATTCCCCACTGAAGAAACACTGTTTTTGTTTATCTGTTTATATCAAGGGAGATAATTTATAGATTTTCTGAGTAAGTATGGTTGCTGTTGCCTCCCTTGGGTGTTGATGGTGTTAGATCCAACTGACTTTTCCTGTAATATGATATTGTAGAGTGTGTCTTCTTGTATTTCAGATGTTCATGGAGTTGTCTACCCTTTGATAAAAGTTTGTGTTTAACTGTTTCAGGTTTTTTTAATACTGTCTCTGATATGTTTCTTCTCTTTGCATTTGATGTAGGCTATAAGCTGCTTTCTCAGAGAGACGAATCCCTAAACACCCCAATTTCTTCTCAGCGCTGTCCGCAACACCGTTATTTAAGCGGTGAATGGTAGAATTGAGGCGTCCATGAATATTCCGTGCGAAATCATTATTTTTTGGTTGCGACACACTAATAGATAGATTCACCCGCTTCACGTTTCAACGTGCTGGTGCCCAATTTCATCTGTTTGATAGCGCTCACACTTATTTTCATTTTAACTATGTCAAAATTAATTGTTTGTCATTCTCTTGTAGGCACAAGTTTGTAATTCTATGGCTGCTGAGGAACATGGAGCGGTTCCACCAGTTGTTTGCTACTCCACCAGAACACACGTATGAGTAGCGTCTAAACTTAGAGCAGTCCCCAGCATAACAGCTCACTGTAGCATCCAGAACACGAGGTAAATATTTTTTTGATAGTATTCATATCTCCAGTATGAATTCTCATCTCTTTTAGTATAAAGTTACATCTAGCTTTTATGTCCTGGCTTAATGTCTTCTGTTGTTCATGCCTTTTGCACAATTATAACACAGGTTAGTGTCTCTGATGTATCTACAAACATAAAAAGCACTTATTCAGGTAGATAAATGTACACAAAGGGGGTGATTATGCACAACTTCAGTGAATTACCTCCCTTTATTTATTTAGAAACTTAATGTTTTAAACTGTCAACAATTCTCATGCTCGAACAGGAATGTTTATCGTCTATTTTCATTGTAGATGAAGTCGCAGAAGCACTTTGCGGCAACAGCATTGCACTTCTTGAGAGCTCAACTACCATCTGCAGTAGACCTGGATGTCACTGGAAATTCATCTACAGTCAGTCTGTTTGCTGATAGATCTTTAGACTCAGTATCTACATGACAAGAGTGTCAAATTCAGCCTTGATTCCAGATGGTGAGTTCCTTTGCTTGTAAACCAGCTAATTTCTTCTTCGGGTCGCCTCGCATTAATTGTACAGCAGTTGTGTATAGTATGCGTAAGTTACTTTTTGATGAAAGAGTTCAGGAGCCTGGGTCCTATTTATATCAGTAAATTGTGGAATTTCTGAATTTTTCAAAGGGTTTTCAGAATCACACAGAGGGACCCGATCTTTGGCATTCTAAGGTGTGATTTTAAGTACTGGGTAACATGTGTGTGGAATGTGTGCATTGACACATTGACTGAGCAGCCACTGGGAGGTAATTATTAGCAGTGCAACACTTTTCAACAACTGGACCAAAAAAAAAAACTATTTGAAAAAATACAACAAATGCACTTTCTACTGACATAACTTTTGATATGTATGCTTATGATAATAATGAACATAATTTACAAGGTAAAATGCATGCGCTTTCAAGAATACCGATTTGACAAATGAGAATTTACAAATAGCAAGTATATGTAATGCAGTTATAGTTTTATGTTATAATCGAAAGTTAAATGGAATATTTGTCTTAAAACGATATTTAGAAAAAAAAATATTTATTGTAGTCTTTATAGATGATATTAAGTAAATTTGAATCACTGGATGAGATTACTTTTTTATTTCATGCAAAATCATCCAGTAATAAAAAGTTATAGCAATTTTCAGTTTTATGGTACTTTTAATTTGTATAAGTGCGGCTGGTTCAGATGGCTGATCTGGTACCTGGTAGCATACAGGCTGTGATTCATCGTATATGTGATAAGACTGGAAACTTTCCAGATAATATGGAGATAGCTTAGGATGATGTATGCAAATTTATTCAAGATCGATGAACATTTTTGACCTAAATAGGAATCAGTCCACAGCTATTTGCCTTTCGTTGACCACCATAAGGAAGTAAATCCGCATAAAAGAGTGCCTGTGTTTAATGCCAGATATAAATGAATAATTGAATGATTGCATATTTCCTTATATTGTCCTACATTTAAAGGACTCCTATTATAATCCTACAAGTATGTTTCTGCTCCCATTCTTTTTACTTGTTAAGCAATAACAGTGTATTTCAAGTAAAATTGGTCAGTTCACAAGTGCTAGACTTTGAATAATTGCTTATAAACAGCCATAGCCCATGAAAACTTGTGGAATTTTACTTAAAGCACTCTGGCATTGCAAAGAAATGCTAAAAGCCTGTGATTTAATTAATATAACATTTATTTCACAGTGTAAAATAACAACAGAGATGATAACAATTTCAAAATATCATGCAGGTTATGTTGAATGATACAGTAATGAAATATGAAATTCGCTTTAAAAGGAATAGTCCGTCACTTTTTAAGTAAACCATTTGTTAAGTTTAAATTTCAGGTCTGTACACAGACAGCACATTTGTTTAAGATAGTTGTCTCGTGCGCAACCGAATATTTATTCCCCACTGAAGAAACACTGTTTTTGTTTATCTGTTTATATCAAGGGAGATAATTTATAGATTTTCTGAGTAAGTATGGTTGCTGTTGCCTCCCTTGGGTGTTGATGGTGTTAGATCCAACTGACCTTTCCTGTAATATGATATTGTAGAGTGTGTCTTCTTGTATTTCAGATGTTCATGGAGTTGTCTACCCTTTGATAAAAGTTTGTGTTTAACTGTTTCAGGTTTTTTTAATACTGTCTCTGATATGTTTCTTCTCTTTGCATTTGATGTAGGCTATAAGCTGCTTTCTCAGAGAGACGAATCCCTAAACACCCCAATTTCTTCTCAGCGCTGTCCGCAACACCGTTATTTAAGCGGTGAATGGTAGAATTGAGGCGTCCATGAATATTCCGCGCGAAATCATTATTTTTTGGTTGCGACACACTAATAGATAGATTCACCCGCTTCACGTTTCAACGTGCTGGTGCCCAATTTCATCTTTTCGATAGCGCTCACACTTATTTTCATTTTAACTATGTCAAAATTAATTGTTTGTCATTCTCTTGTAGGCACAAGTTTGTAATTCTATGGCTGCTGAGGAACATGGAGCGGTTCCACCAGTTGTTTGCTACTCCACCAGAACAACACGTATGAGTAGCGTCTACACTTAGAGCAGTCCCCAGCATAACAGCTCATTGTAGCATCCAGAACACGAGGTAAATATTTTTTTGATAGTATTCATATCTCCAGTATGAATTCTCATCTCTTTTAGTATAAAGTTACATCTAGCTTTTATGTCCTGGCTTAATGTCTTCTGTTGTTCATGCCTTTTGCACAATTATAACACAGGTTTAGTGTCTCTGATGTATCTACAAACATAAAAAGCACTTATTCAGGTAGATAAATGTACACAAAGGGGGTGATTATGCACAACTTCAGTGAATTACCTCCCTTTATTTATTTAGAAACTTAATGTTTTAAACTGTCAACAATTCTCATGCTCGAACAGGAATGTTTATCGTCTATTTTCATTGTAGATGAAGTCGCAGAAGCACTTGGCGGCAACAGCATTGCACTTCTTGAGAGCTCACTACCATCTGCAGTAGGCCTGGATGTCACTGGAAATTCATCTACAGTCAGTCTGATGATAGATCTCTTAGACTCAGTATCTACATGACAAGAGTTGTCAAACTTCAAGCCTTTATTCCATGGTGAGTTCCTTTGCTTGAACCCAGCTAATTTCTTCTTTCGGTCGCCTCGCATAATTGTACAGCAGTTGTGTATAGTATGAAGGTAAGTTACTTTTTGATAAAGAGTCAGGAGCTGGGTCCATATTTATACAGTAAATGGAATTTCTGGAATTTCTTCAAAGGTGGTTTTCAAGAATCACACAGAGGGACCCAGACTTTGGCATTCCTAGGTGGTGATTTAAGTACCTGGGGTAACAGTGTGTGGAATGCTGTGCATTGGACCACATTGACTGAGCAGCCACCTGGGGAGGTAATTATTAGGCAGTGGCACTTTTCTACTGGACATAACTTTTGAACCAGTTGGCTTATGATAATAAATGAAACATAATTTTAAAGGTAAAATGCATGCCTTTCAAGAAATAACCGATTTGACAAATGAGAATTTACAAAAATTATGTAATGCAGTTATAGTATTATGTAATATGTCTAAATTTGGATATATTTGGTCTTAAAACGATATTTAAGAAAAAAAAAATATTTATGTTAGTTTTAGATGCATATTTAAGTAATATTTGAATCACTGATGATATTACTTTTTATTTCATGAAAATCATCCAAGTAATAAAAAAGTTATAGCAATTTTAGTTTTAGAGTACTTTTAATTTGATAAGCTGCGGCCTGGCTTCAGGGCTGAATGGTACCTATGGTACATAACAGGCTGTGAATTTATCAGTATATGTGATTAAGACTGGAAACTTTCCAGAATAATATGAGATAGCCTAGGAATGATGTATGCAAAATTTTATTAAGATCAGATGAACATTTTTGACTAAATAGGAATCAGTCCACAGTTATTTGCCTTTCGTTGACCACAATAAGGAAGTAAATCCGCATAAAAGAGTGCCTGTGTTTAATGCCAGATATAAATGAATAATTGAATGAAAGAGATAGAAAAAAGGCCATTTCCTGACAGAATTCATTTCAAATAGTTGGTAAATGCCAATTTTGATCCAGATTTTATGCGAGTAAGTATTTTTTTAGTGTTTTTCTACATGACAGAACTCACATGGTTCCGGCTAATTACTGAAAACTGTCAGACTGATGTATTTTGAACTGAAATGCTGTGGAAAAATGATGAATGACCCCTAGTTTGCTATAGCTAGAATTATTTATCTTGGATGGTACTGTAAGCACAAGTGACTTTGATTTGATTGGAGAGTTAGTGATATTGCCACAGGGTTTAATGTTTATATAGAACATATAGTGAAATTAATTGTGGTCTGAGGCCTGATTAGAAGCTTGTTTTTACATGGAGTAAATCTGTTTGACAGGTAATAACTTTATCATTTTTAGAGCAATTTTAATGAAACTTGGTCATGAAGCAGATAATTGATGTATAAATCTGAGTTTGTAATTAAATTACACAAGTGCTTTTATTTTCTTTGTATTATGTAATTTTATATAATAATATATACATTTTTTTAAAAAATCTCAAAAAGCTACTTTCAGTTTAGAAATGTCTGTTTAAATATAGCCAGGAGGTCATTTCCTGTACAGGTTACAGCCTCCCTTTAAATAAAAGTTAAAATGGAAGCATTTTTTAAAAATTATTTAGAAAAAAATCAATGAAAAATCTGTGCCAAACAGACAGGGCTGTATGATAGGGCAGGGGTGTATAAAGAAAGGACCAGTGGGCTATGGTATTATTATTATTTCCAAGTTTCCTGATGCACAGTGGCACACCATGCATGTTCATAAACTTCTTTACCTGGTTCACAATAAAATTCTATATGTTGAACCAGATTTAGAGGTCTCGCACCTGTGCCACGTGCCACTGTGTGTCGGTGCTAACCATTTAGCCCCATTGCATCAATACCGAAAGGCTTAAGTGTGTGAACCGGGCCATTTGCTGCAGCCATGGAGTATACCGAGACTGTTTTATTTGTTTGAGGTGAGTAATCGCTTTGTTTAAGAGACATATTTAAGGTGTTGATGGCCTCGGGATAAAGGTTGGTGAGTGCTTACGTGTCCTTTCATTTATTCTGATTGCATATTTCCTTATATTGTCCTACATTTAAAGGACTCCTATTATAATCCTACAAGTATGTTTCTGCTCCCATTTTTTTTACTTGTTAAGCAATAACAGTGTATTTCAAGTAAAATTGGTCAGTTCACAAGTGCTAGACTTTGAATAATTGCTTATAAACAGCCATAGCCCATGAAAACTTGTGGAATTTTACTTAAAGCACTCTGGCATTGCAAAGAAATGCTAAAAGCCTGTGATTTAATTAATATAACATTTATTTCACAGTGTAAAATAATAACAGAGATGATAACAATTTCAAAATATCATGCAGGTTATGTTGAATGATACAGTAATGAAATATGAAATTCGCTTTAAAAGGAATAGTCCGTCACTTTTTAAGTAAACCATTTGTTAAGTTTAAATTTCAGGTCTGTACACAGACAGCACATTTGTTTAAGAAAGTTGTCTCGTGCGCAACCGAATATTTATTCCCCACTGAAGAAACACTGTTTTTGTTTATCTGTTTATATCAAGGGAGATAATTTATAGATTTTCTGAGTAAGTATGGTTGCTGTTGCCTCCCTTGGGTGTTGATGGTGTTAGATCCAACTGACTTTTCCTGTAATATGATATTGTAGAGTGTGTCTTCTTGTATTTCAGATGTTCATGGAGTTGTCTTCCCTTTGATAAAAGTTTGTGTTTAACTGTTTCAGGTTTTTTTAATACTGTCTCTGATATGTTTCTTCTCTTTGCATTTGATGTAGGCTATAAGCTGCTTTCTCAGAGAGACAAATCCCTAAACACCCCAATTTCTTCTCAGCGCTGTCCTCAACACCGTTATTTAAGCGGTGAATGGTACAATTGAGGCGTCCATGAATATTCCGCGCGAAATCATTATTTTTTGGTTGCGACACACTAATAGATAGATTCACCCGCTTCACGTTTCAACGTGCTGGTGCCCAATTTCATCTTTTCGATAGCGCTCACACTTATTTTCATTTTAACTATGTCAAAATTAATTGTTTGTCATTCTCTTGTAGGCACAAGTTTGTAATTCTATGGCTGCTGAGGAACATGGAGCGGTTCCACCAGTTGTTTGTTACTCCACCAGAACACACGTATGAGTAGCTTCTACACTTAGAGCAGTCCCCAGCATAACAGCTCACTGTAGCATCCAGAACACGAGGTAAATATTTTTTTTTGATAGTATTCATATCTCCAGTATGAATTCTCATCTCTTTTAGTATAAAGTTACATCTAGCCTTTATGTCCTGGCTTAATGTCTTCTGTTGTTCATGCCTTTTGCACAATTATAACACAGGTTTAGTGTCTCTGATGTATCTACAAACATAAAAAGCACTTATTCAGGTAGATAAATGTACACAAAGGGGGTGATTATGCACAACTTCAGTGAATTACCTCCCTTTATTTATTTAGAAACTTAATGTTTAAACTGTCAACAATTCTCATGCTCGAACAGGAATTTTTATCGTCTATTTTCATTGTAGATGAAGTCGCAGAAGCACTTGGCGGCAACAGCATTGCACCTCTTGAGAGCTCACTACCATCTGCAGTAGGCCTGGATGTCACTGGAAATTCATCTACAGTCAGTCTGATGATAGATCTCTTAGACCCAGTATCTACATGACAAGAGTTGTCAAACTTCAAGCCTTTATTCCATGGTGAGTTCCTTTGCTTGAACCCAGCTAATTTCTTCTTTCGGTCGCCTCGCATAATTGTACAGCAGTTGTGTATAGTATGAAGGTAAGTTACTTTTTGATAAAGAGTCAGGAGCTGGGTCCATATTTATACAGTAAATGGAATTTCTGGAATTTCTTCAAAGGTGGTTTTCAAGAATCACACAGAGGGACCCAGACTTTGGCATTCCTAGGTGGTGATTTAAGTACCTGGGGTAACAGTGTGTGGAATGCTGTGCATTGGACCACATTGACTGAGCAGCCACCTGGGGAGGTAATTATTAGGCAGTGGCACTTTTCTACTGGACATAACTTTTGAACCAGTTGGCTTATGATAATAAATGAAACATCATTTTAAAGGTAAAATGCATGCCTTTCAAGAAATAACCGATTTGACAAAATGAGAATTTACAAAAATTATGTAATGCAGTTATAGTATTATGTAATATGTCTAAATTTGGATATATTTGGTCTTAAAACGATATTTAAGAAAAAAAATATTTATGTTAGTTTTAGATGCATATTTAAGTAATATTTGAATCACTGATGAGATTACTTTTTATTTCATGAAAATCATCCAAGTAATAAAAAAGTTATAGCAATTTTAGTTTTAGAGTACTTTTAATTTGATAAGCTGCGGCCTGGCTTCAGGGCTGAATGGTACCTATGGTACATAACAGGCTGTGAATTCATCAGTATATGTGATTAAGACTGGAAACTTTCCAGAATAATATGAGATAGCCTAGGAATGATGTATGCAAAATTTTATTAAGATCAGATGAACATTTTTGACTAAATAGGAATCAGTCCACAGTTATTTGCCTTTCGTTGACCACAATAAGGAAGTAAATCCGCATAAAAGAGTGCCTGTGTTTAATGCCAGATATAAATGAATAATTGAATGAAAGAGATAGAAAAAAGGCCATTTCCTGACAGAATTCATTTCAAATAGTTGGTAAATGCCAATTTTGATCCAGATTTTATGCGAGTAAGTATTTTTTTAGTGTTTTTCTACATGACAGAACTCACATGGTTCCGGCTAATTACTGAAAACTGTCAGACTGATGTATTTTGAACTGAAATGCTGTGGAAAAATGATGAATGACCCCTAGTTTGCTATAGCTAGAATTATTTATCTTGGATGGTACTGTAAGCACAAGTGACTTTGATTTGATTGGAGAGTTAGTAATATTGCCACAGGGTTTAATGTTTATATAGAACATATAGTGAAATTAATTGTGGTCTGAGGCCTGATTAGAAGCTTGTTTTTACATGGAGTAAATCTGTTTGACAGGTAATAACTTTATCATTTTTAGAGCAATTTTAATGAAACTTAGTCATGAAGCAGATAATTGATGTATAAATCTGAGTTTGTTATTAAATTACACAAGTGCTTTTATTTTCTTTGTATTATGTACTTTTATATAATAATATATACATTTTTTAAAAAAATCTCAAAAAGCTACTTTCAGTTTAGAAATGTCTGTTTAAATATAGCCAGGAGGTCATTTCCTGTACAGGTTACAGCCTCCCTTTAAATAAAAGTTAAAATGGAAGCATTTTTTAAAAATTATTTAGAAAAAAATCAATGAAAAATCTGTGCCAAACAGACAGGGCTGTATGATAGGGCAGGGGTGTATAAAGAAAGGACCAGTGGGCTATGGTATTATTATTATTTCCAAGTTTCCTGATGCACAGTGGCACACCATGCATGTTCATAAACTTCTTTACCTGGTTCACAATAAAATTCTGTATGTTGAACCAGATTTAGAGGTCTCGTACCTGTGCTACGTGCTTCTGTGTGTCGGTGCTAACCATTTGAGCCCCATTGCATCAATACCGAAAGGCTTAAGTGTGTGAACCGGGCCATTTGCTGCAGCCATGGGGTATACCGAGACTGTTTATTTGTTTGAGGTGAGTAATCGCTTTGTTTAAGAGACATATTTAAGGTGTTGATGGCCTCGGGATAAAGGTTGGTGAGTGCTTACGTGTCCTTTCATTTATTCTGATTGCATATTTCCTTATATTGTCCTACATTTAAAGGACTCCTATTATAATCCTACAAGTATGTTTCTGCTCCCATTCTTTTTACTTGTTAAGCAATAACAGTGTATTTCAAGTAAAATTGGTCAGTTCACAAGTGCTAGACTTTGAATAATTGCTTATAAACAGCCATAGCCCATGAAAACTTGTGGAATTTTACTTAAAGCACTCTGGCATTGCAAAGAAATGCTAAAAGCCTGTGATTTAATTAATATAACATTTATTTCACAGTGTAAAATAACAACAGAGATGATAACAATTTCAAAATATCATGCAGGTTATGTTGAATGATACAGTAATGAAATATGAAATTCGCTTTAAAAGGAATAGTCCGTCACTTTTTAAGTAAACCATTTGTTAAGTTTAAATTTCAGGTCTGTACACAGACCGCACATTTGTTTAAGATAGTTGTCTCGTGCGCAACCGAATATTTATTCCCCACTGAAGAAACACTGTTTTTGTTTATCTGTTTATATCAAGGGAGATAATTTATTCTGAGTAAGTATGGTTGCTGTTGCCTCCCTTGGGTGTTGATATTATTTGTGGTTATCTAAGTTATATAGTGTTTTTTATGTAAATTGGATTGAAATCAATCCGATATCGGACGCTAGGTTGAGGTTGGCTTATATTTACTGTATTTTCTCCACGGTAAAAGTAAGATAAGTATAATTTCGTTCTCTGAGAAGCATATAATGATTCTAATTGAACGCACATTTTACTTTAAAATGTTGTGTGCCTCCGCATGACTGTATTTTTTAAAGAATTTACCAGATACCCATAAACACACCAAGGTGATTCCAACATAGTATTATAAATGATTTCATTCCTATATGATAGTGCAAGATCAGAACATTAATCATCAGTTATAGTCATAACCCTCCATTTGTCTTCTTGTTTTGAAAAAGTTTACTACTTTCAATTTAGTTTCTTAAAGACATTTTCTACAGATTTATGAAATTTAATCCTTTCATAGAATTTTCTAAATTTTTGTATGATAAGTAAAACTTAATCGCGAATTCAAAAATAAAAAGAAAAATATATGTTGACGTGTTGGATTTCTTGAAAAATGGCAGTTTCCATGGTAACCGTATATCTCAAAACTGTCAAAAAGCCAAACTGTGTTATAACAAATGGAAAATGTATAAGATAGCTTAACGCACACAACAAGCATTGTTTTATGCAAAGATAGCTTATCTTATTATTTTGTATGAAACAAATGATAATCTGAACATATTTCTTTAAAAAATTAGTTTTCCATGTTCCTTAACCGAACAAAAAATGAGAAAAATAAACATGAATTCTGCGAATAATTAAAGATATTGAAAAGTTTCTTTCATAGGATTTTCTATTTTTTTGTATGTTGTGTAAAATTTAATGACGAATTCAAAAATAAAAAGAAAAATATATGTTGACGTGTTGAATTTTTTTTAAAATGGCAGTTTCCATGGTAACCGTATATCTCTAAATTGTCAAAATAGCAAAACTGTGTTATAAAAATGTATAAGACAGCTTATTACACACACAATAAACATAATTTTATACAAATCTTGCTTTATCTTAGGGTTTTATATAAAACAAACGATAATTGGAACATATTTCTTTAAAAAAAATGAGTTTTTCATGCTTTTTAACTAAAAAAAATGAGAAAAATAAACATGAATTCTGTAATAAAAATAAAGCTATCAAGAAATTTCTTTCATAGAATTTTCTACATTTTTGATATATCAAGTAAAATTTTATGGTGGATTAAAAAATAGAAATAAAAATATATGTTGACGTGTTAGTTGTTTTGTAAACGGGCAGTTTCCATGATATGCGCATATGCCAACTGTCAAAATTACCACGCTTTCTTAAGAAATATCAGTGTGTTATACTAAATGTATTGTCATATATACAACAAAAACATGTGGTAACAAAAATTCCTTTTTCTTTTTATGTAATATTAAGTAAATGATACTGAATATGTTTTTAAAACAGGTTATATAGGGCTATATTATTTTTTCACTCGACTAACATACCCGAACAGTAAGCAAGTATTTAGAAATTTACAAAGAAAATAATGAAATTCGGAACATTTCTTAGATATTGTTTTTGTTTTTTATTCAACACTTTTAAGATATATATATCATTTTAAACTTCTTTGGCCAGTTGAAGTGGCGACGCACTTTCGTCACTTTACCACAAGTGGGTGGGGTAACGCGCGCCGAATCATCATCAATGCTATCGTACTAATGCTAGGAGAACTCCTTTATCTGATGTTGTCTAAACGATCTCTTATTCTTTTTAACCGATCTCCTCCTGAACATTTAGAAATATCTATTCTGTATTATTTACTCACTGTTTGTTTATAGCCGAAATTTAAACACTTATCCGAGTACTATTCAACTTGACCTTTTTTTGAAGAGAAATTATCCGTGATTATCTTTCTTGGAAGCGTAAAACGATGCGCACAAAAAAACAACAACCGAAAACGTCTTTAACAGTGCAGTGATCTCTCCGTTTAAAATGAAAAACGTTACGTAACATGTGCGAAGAATTTGGCAATTAACCAGTATGCGAAGTAGTTCTGTAAAGAAGCCAAGTGAACTATTTGCTAAAGCGTATGTAGCAAATTCTTTCTGCCTACACAGTATACACATGATGCTGCACTATTGGAAAAATATGTTTGTTTAGCGTACGTATGGAATAGAAATGTATTGATAGACGGACAGTGTTTTAAAAACGGAGATTTATATATCAGGTATGCTAATTTGCCTTTTTGATTTAAACATGGACAAAGGATATTGACATCTTATTTCAAATCTACCCACAGAAACGATGAAAAATTATGTCACATTTCTTGCTAACAGAATATTATCACATCAATTTAGCGTAATTCTGTTTAGGAAATTCTACCAATAAGGTACATGATTTATGATTTTTTGTGAATATCAAACATTTTGTACTTCTCAACTAAACTTGG